TCAGAGATGGATACCACCCATTAGAACAGGTTGTCATCATAAGCATGTGACCTCAGAGATGCGTGCCACTTACTAGAACAGGTTGTCATCATAAGCGTGTGACCTCAGAGATACGTATCACCCCATAGAACAGGTTTTCATCATAAGCGGTTGACCTCAGAGATGCTTGCCACCCAATAGAACAGGTTGTCATCATAAGCGGTTAACCTTAGAGATGCTAGCCACCAAATAGAACAGGTAGCCATCATAAGCGTGTGACCTTAGAGTTGCTTGCCACCCAATAGAACAGGTTGTCATCAGAAGCGTGTGAACCTAGAGATTCGTGCCACCCAGTATAACAGGTTGTCATCAGAAGCGTGTGAGCTCAGAGATGAGTGCCACCCATTAGAACAAGTTGTCATCATAAGCATGTGACCTCAGAGATGCGTGCCACCCAGTATAACAGGTTGTCATCAGAAGCGTGTGAGCTCAGAGATGAGTGCCACCCATTAGAACAAGTTGTCATCATAAGCATGTGACCTCAGAGATGCGTGCCACCCAGTATAACAGGTTGTCATCATAAGCGTGTGACCTCAGAGATGAGTGCCACCCATTAGAACATGTTTTCATCATAAGCGTATGACCTCAGAGATGGATGCCAAATAATAGAACAGGTTGTCATAATATGCGATTGACCTCAGAGATGCTTGCCACCCAATAGAACAGGTTGTCATCATAAGCAGTTGACCTCAGAGATGCTAGCCACCCAATAGAACAGGTAGCCATCATAAGCGTGTGACCTTAGAGTTGCTTGCCACCCAATAGAACAGGTTGTCATCATAAGCGGTTGACCTCAGAGATGCATACCACCTTATAGAACAGGTTGTCATCAGAAGCGTGTGAACCTAGAGATTCGTGCCACCCAGTATAACAGGTTTTCATCAGAAGCGTGTGAGCTCAGAGATGAGTGCCACCCATTAGAACAGGTTGTCATCATAAGCATGTGACCTCAGAGATTCGTGCCACCAAGTATAACAGGTTGTCATCAGAAGCGTGTGAGCTCAGAGATGAGTGCCACCCATTAGAACAGGTTGTCATCATAAGCATGTGACCTCAGAGATGAGTGCCACCCATTAGAACAGGTTGTCATCATAAGCGTGTGACCTCAGAGATGCGTGCCACCCAGTAGAACAGGTTGTCATCACAAGCGTGTGACCTCAGAGATGCGTGCCACCCAATAGAACAGGTTGTCATCATAAGCGGTTGACCTCAGAGATGCTAGCCACCCAATTGAACAGGTAGTCATCATAAGTGTGTGACCTTAGAGTTGCTTGCCACCCAATAGAACAGGTTGTCATCATAAGCGGTTGACCTCAGAGATGCATAACACCTAATAGAACAGGTTGTCATCAGAAGCGTGTGAACCTAGAGATTCGTGCCACCCAGTATAACAGGTTGTCATCAGAAGCGTGTGAGCTCAGAGATGCGTGCCACACAGTAGAACAGGTTGTCATCATAAGCATGTGACCTCAGAGATGGATACCACCCAGTAGAACAGGTTGTCATCATAAGCGTGTGACCTCAGAGATGAGTGCCACCCATTAGAACATGTTGTCATCATAAGCGTATGACCTCAGAGATGGATACCAAATAATAGAACAGGTTGTCATAATAAGCGTGTGACCTCAGAGATGCGTGCCACCCATTAGAACATGTTGTCATCAGAAGCGAATGACCTCAGAGATGGATACCAAATAATAGAACAGGTTGTCATAATAAGCGTGTGACCTCAGAGATGCGTGCCACCCAGTAAAACAGGTTGTCATCATTAGCGTGTGACTCCAGAGATGGGTACCACCCAGTAGAACAGGTTGTCATCATAGGCATGTGACCTCAGAGATGAGTACCACCCAGTAGAACAGGTTGTCATAGGGAGCGTGTGACCTCAGAGATGCGTGCCACCCAGTAGAACAGGTTGTCATCAGAAGCGTGTGACCTCAGAGATGCGTGCCACCCAGTAGAACAGGTTGTCATCAGAAGCGTGTGACCTCAGAGATGCGTGCCACACAGTAGAACAGGTTGTCATCATAAGCATGTGACCTCAGAGATGGATACCACCCAGTAGAACAGGTTGTCATCATAAGCGTGTGACCCCAGAGATGGGTACCACCTAATAGAACAGGTTGGCATCATAAGCGTGTGACCCAACAGATGCGTGCCACCCAGTAGAACAGGTTGTCATCATAAGCGTGTGACCCCAGAGATGGGTACCACCCAGTAGAACAGGTTGTCATCATAAGCGTGTGAACTCAGAGATGCGTGCCGCCCAATAGAGCAGGTTGTCATCAAAGTTTTGGGGGTAGTATTCTTTAATATTGAGATTCGGTGTTGCCTGGAGTCGCAGCAAAAAAACTATTTCTATTAGCAAATAAATAAATCAATGAAAGTTTGAAACTGAAGAGCACATATTTTGACTGTTATAAATGGAAAACAATTGCAGCAGATATTATGACCCTGGTCCAAATTGCGGCGCTGCGTGTCCGGATCCATTTTGACTAAATGCTATTCGGATTTCATTTGTTGTAGTTAATTTTAGTTAAACTGAAGAAGTAAGTTTACAAAAACATAGCCCATTCAATTATCTTTCATTCGATACCTAATTTTGTGTTACAAACCCTACAATAACTTTTAAATTTTTTTAATAAACCCAAACTCTCACTTCTCGGACCCGGATCCAAATAGCTGCTGCCAAATTTTTAAAAAGTAGGTCTAAGAATTAAGAGTGGATTCAATATTCCTTCAATAATCATGTAAATTGTATTTTTTTTTTTAATTAAACGAAATTTGCATTTTAGCATTATTTTTTCGTGCAATTACAGGGCCTACAGTTTTACACATCAGTAAAAAGGCCTACAATCTTACACATCAGTAAATAGGCCTACAGTTTAACACATCAGTAAATAGGCCTACAGTTTAACACATCAGTAAATAGGCTTACAGTTTAACACATCAGTAAATAGGCCTACAGTTTAACACATCAGTAAATAGGCCTACAGTTTAACACATCAGTAAATAGGCCTACACATTTGTTTACTTAGATAATGTATGTTCTGTTCAATTTAATTTCACTGTGCACTATTCCTAATCGTGCGACACGCGAGTGGCCAGTTTGGTGCTGTCTTGCAAAGTTTGGAAATATTCTCATTAACATTTTAACAAGATTTTCAATTACAAGTTTCTATAAAACACGTAGCAATTTTGCAATGCAAGACACAACATTTGTAAGGGAGGGCCTCCAATAAAATTTTAGGGCCTCAATTTATTTAAATAATTTTTTTTCCATGAAAGTGTGTCTTATTTTCTTTTTCTTCTAAGACTCAATACCAGCGTCATAGCGTAGTGCTACTTGTTATGAACAAAGTTGATTTCCTCTTCATTTAACCTATCATTTAAACGTTCGTTCCTTAAAGAAGCTTTCGACCTTTACCTCGTTTCACTAACCGAGTATTTAAACGAGCCACTGTGTAGCCCTACATCTTATTCACTACTTGATCAAAGAGTCCTACAGTCTACAACTACAGGCCAGAGATTAGGTTCAAGAACTTTCCAGATTTAATTTATCTAATTACTAAATCGTTGTTGTTGTTTGTTTGTTGTTTTTTTTGCTGTACCAATGAAGGCATTTGCTGGAACTGGATGAAGGCATTTGCTGGAACTGGATGAAGGCATTTGCTGGAACTGGATGAAGGCATTTGGTGGAACTGGATGAAGGCATTTGCTGGAACTGGATGAAGGCATTTGCTGGAACTGGATGAAGGCATTTGCTGGAACTGGATGAAGGCATTTGCTGGAACTGGATGAAGGCATTTGCTGGAACTGGATGAAGGCATTTGCTGGAACTGGATGAAGGCATTTGCTGGAACTGGATGAAGGCATTTGGTGGAACTGGATGAAGGCATTTGCTGGAACTGGATGAAGGCATTTGCTGGAACTGGATGAAGGCATTTGCTGGAACTGGATGAAGGCATTTGCTGGAACTGGATGAAGGCATTTGCTGGAACTGGATGAAGGCATTTGCTGGAACTGGATGAAGGCATTTGCTGGAACTGGATGAAGGCATTTGCTGGAACTGGATGAAGGCATTTGCTGGAACTGGATGAAGGCATTTGATGGAACTGGATGAAGGCATTTGCTGGAACTGGATGAAGGCATTTGGTGGAACTGGATGAAGGCATTTGGTGGAACTGGATGAAGGCATTTGGTGGAACTGGATGAAGGCATTTGCTGGAACTGGATGAAGGCATTTGCTGGAACTGGATGAAGGCATTTGCTGGAACTGGATGAAGGCATTTGCTGGAACTGGATGAAGGCATTTGCTGGAACTGGATGAAGGCATTTGGTGGAACTGGATGAAGGCATTTGCTGGAACTGGATGAAGGCATTTGCTGGAACTGGATGAAGGCATTTGCTGGAACTGGATGAAGGCATTTGCTGGAACTTGGATGAAGGCATTTGCTGGAACAGTAATGTTTGAATTTGCATTTTTTTTTGTCTAATCAAAATTAAAGGTTAACATATATAGTCTTTTTTGCACAACTTGTATCTCATTATCTGCTTCAGTTTTTTTTGGTCACCTCTCACCTCAATAATAAAATGTGTCTTGTTCCAAAAATATTTGAACATCTAGTTATGTCAAATTATTTTGAAGACATATGAAATTATTTAATTTGAAAATTAAAAAAAAAATTTAAATAACAAAATGTGTGTTGTCTCATCCGTTTTCTGCTCATCATAAATTAATAATATTGTTTTTGTATATCGCATTTTCAAACGACTTTCTAAACAGTAAAAAAAATAATATAATTATACTATAATTTATAGTAAACCATAAACAATTACTTTTCTTCTTGTTTTCCCACCAAAAATGTTTTTAGGTTCTAAATTATTATTATTTTTAAACCTACTCTCATAGATGTAAATATATTTCTATTCATTAGAGATGTAGAAAACAATTCAAATCATTTTATTGGTTCTGAAAGTTTTTTTACAACCTTTAGAGAATCTGAGCCTGCAAACAATCAACAATAAAGCTGTGTTCGTTTGATATGCCATGATATATTTTTCATTGTAAAATATTTGATAGGTACAAATGGAGATATTGTAAAAAGTTTGACTAGCCAAACTAATGACAATATAACACATACATAAATGATTAAGTAGCCTTAAAAGTTATAAATAAGTTAAAAGTGACATAATCATTTATATAAAAGATTCATCTTAAAAACTGTCAAGGAGACATAAATTAAATAAATAAAAATCCAGGGTAATAATAATATATTAAAGCCATAACCACTAAACTAAAATACAGAAAAATATAAATGAAGAAAAAAAGCCAAACAAACACACAAAAAAAACACTAAAAAAATTGTAAATGATCTCATCATAAAGTATGATAAAGCATAATATGGTTATGCTCAATATGATTAAGTACACAAATATGTTGTATAAAATTGAATGCCTCTTGAGAAGCTGTTTGGTTGCTAGTGGCAATTGTTCATTAACTGATGACTAGTGGTCTATTATGTTATATTAGAACTGCAGTTGGCAGCAGGGGGAAATGGTTTTTATCTGAATTATATTGCACATGTAACGTAAACAATCTATTTGGGAAACAAACTGAAAGAGCATAGGCGGTAAACATTTAAGTATAAAACATACCAAAAAAAAACAACACTGATTAAATAATATAGAATTTCACATCTATTAAGAATGTAGAGATTTTGTATCAAAAAAATATTTCACAAAACCTATTCAGTAGAAGCTTATGACAATTAAATAATTCCTATGTCATAATCTTAGAGCTTTTCCATATATCAGGAATTCTTAAATTTACTATGACATTTTTTTTAACAGATTAAATTGATTTACAAAGCATGTACAACTATTAATTATCACCTAAATAACAAAATGATTTAACTGTTTTAAAAAGTCTAATGAGACAATATTGAATATTGTCCACACAAGGTCATCTCATAGACAAAATAGGAATTAGGGAAAAAATATCAAATGTTTTGCGGAAATTAGTAAAAACATAAAAATAAAAAAAAGACAATTAACTATTAATGACTGTATGGTCAATTTTTTTACCTTTTGACAAAAGTAAACCATTATTATATCTTTATGTAGTTTCAGCTGTGGAAAATGTCAAGTGTTTTGTGATAGCGGTTACAAGAACTTTGTGCTTTTCTAATAAAAATACACTACCTCTAAATCACTGTAAAACCTTTCTTATTCTTATCCAAATACATTTCAAATTCATGTTATAAAAAATTTGCATACATAAACATAATAAAAATTGTTTAATCAAATAAAATTTAAAAAACAAGAAAATTAATAAACAAAAAAGACATTACTGATAAGCGTTTACAATGTCAACTTCAAAAATCTAAATTGATCAAGCTAAATACATTATTGGGAAAATATATAATCACAGCTGTTTGAAAATTTTCACATGGCCAACAATAGAATGTTTAGTACGGCAGTACGTTAAATCCATAGGGATGGTGGAACAAACATGTAATCAGTATGTACTATTATTATGGGAAAAAAGTTTCAGAGATTTTTAGGAAAATAGATTTGAAATTATAACAGTAGGCAGAAGGTAAATGCAGGGACAAATAAGAATGAAATATTACGAATGATATAAAAGTATAAGATCTTTGATTAAATACATTATTGGTAAATTAAGTAGCTAACATTTTAATCCCTGAAACTGTAACAGATTGAAGATCCTTAATCCAAAATTCACGGGGCTTAGAAATGCTTTGGCTTTTGTATAACACAGATGTCTATGAAATCTAAGTACATTAAAAGAATATTTAAAAAAATGTCCTTTCTAACCTATGGATAAACTTAGTTTCTCTTCTCTAATAAAAAATCTAACAGGGTTATTAGCCATTTTTTAACAATATCTTAGACTCTCTGAGCATAGAACATATTAAAACCAACAGTGAATAATGGAGACACAAACTGATAACAGTGTTCTTCTCACTGAGAGTCCATCCATCCCTGTGGCACTACAGCCCTTTCACTGAGTGTAACACATCAAATTTCAATTCTTAAAAAAATATTTTTGGAAGATACAGTTTTCAGAGAATTTTGTCCTTTCAAATTATTAGGATACTCATCTAGTTATTATTTTTGTTATATCATTCATCCCCAGATTAAATAAAGAGATCTAAGCATGTGTTCTTGTAATCCCTCGGTGCACAAGACTACAACCCTGCAGCTAAAATGCACCAATTTAGGACTTGTACTTTTGGCCTATGAGAACTCCTAAAGCAACCACACCACCAGCTACAGCTGCCCCAGCTGCTACTTTAGCTAGGGCTTTTCTGGCCTGATAGAGCATCAAGGTCCTTTTGCCTCCAAATATCCCTTTCTGTACACTTGGTCTCAGCTGGGCTTGGTTCCAGTATTCGATCAGAGCTGGTCGTTTGGCTGGGTCCAGGTATCTGCAGGTGGTAATATGATTATTAAGGGGGTGACTGTAATGCATCACAGTCTATCCATTAATATGACTATCTCTAGTGTATCTTTGTACACAAAAATGTCATTGGATATATGAATCATGACATACAAGTTAAGTAAATTAGAAAATATTTTAAAAACACCACGGTATCATCATTTTAAGGAAAACACCATGGTATCATCATTTTAAGGAAAACACCATGGTATCATCATTTTAAGGAAAACACCATGGTATCATCATTTTAAGGAAAACACCATGGTATCATTATTTTAAGGAAAACACCATGGTATCATCATTTTAAGGAAAACACCATGGTATCATCATTTTAAGGAAAACACCATGGTATCATCATTTTAAGGAAAACACCATGGTGTCATCATTTTAAGGAAAACACCATGGTATCATCATTTTAAGGAAAACACCATGGTATCATCATTTTAAGGAAAACACCATGGTATCATCATTTTAAGGAAGCATAATAATATGTCATCCAACAGGTATTTTAAAAAAAAGCGTAACAGAATGATAGTTATACATTTTTTTATATATAAATTAAAACAAATCATGGTGTCAAAATAATTGTATTTTCTGTATTTATAATGATGATTATATTATCATCAAAGAACCTTACTAAAGGAAATATGTATTATCACTTAACTTAGCTATATAATAAACCTGTTATAAAAAATTGAATGAATTTTAAAAAATTAAAAATTTTCTGTATTAATATAATTCATAACTCCGTCATGGCGGGTCCCGAGCCGAGGTGCAAAAGAAGGAGGGTTGGCATGAGGCCAGCTACTTCACCCTTAAAAAAACAAATTGCTACACAAATATCAACAAGAAGAAAAAAACAAAACATTTTCAGCCCCAAAAAGAGAGGACTCTTCTTCCCCAATAAAAGTTATGAAGCCAGATTATACTGGAAGCCTCAAAGTCGAAGACCCTTTTTTCCAAGGCAATTAAGCATAGGCTCGTGGAATGTTAGAAGCATGTATGAAACAAGAATATCAGCACAAGTGGTGGCAGAAATAAGAACATACAGACTCACACTGCTCAGCTTCTGTGAAACAAGCTGGCCGGTTAACTTTGGCCTCAGGAGAAACACTAATATACTCAGAGCATGAGGAGGAAAATGCTCCACACACACAAGGATCGCTTTCATGATGACACTGATGACACAAGGGCCATTGACAAGATGGGAAACCCATTGTCCAAGAATTATTACAGCACCTTTCCAAACCAAGAAGAAGAAAATAAATATGAATATACCGGTACAGTGTCATGCACCCAACAATGATAGTAAGGAAGATGAAAAAAGAAGCTTTTTTCAATACACAAGCCATACTGGAGAAATTTCCAGGTAGAGATCTAAATATCATGAAAGTAGATCTAAATGCTAAGATTGGAAAAGAAAACAGAATATATGAAGAAATTATGGGGCGCCATGGTTTAGGAGAGAGAAATTAGCAAAATGGGGAGCTGATGTTACATCTGATCTCCATTTAGGTTGGGCACAATTCAAGCTAAAACCAAAGAAAAACTGGGATGAACCAGATGTTAAAAGACTAAAATACAACACAGCACTTCTGGCAAACAAGCAAAAATGACAGGAATTCAGTGTTACCTAGAGAAATAAGTTCCAGATACTGCAAGACCAAACAGATGATGACCAGACAGAAATTCAATGGCAAAACATAAATATGTCTGTAACATCCACAGGCAATGAGGTGTTACAACTGTTAGAGCAAAAACACAAAGATTGGCTCTCACTCAACACGTTGCAAAAAATAAACAAGGGCAGAGAAAACAAAAGCACAAGAGAAATATAAAGAAGCCAATGGAAGGGTAAAAAAAGGATAAAAGAGCTTACTTAGATAATAGATGGTCTAGTGTCAACAGCACAGCAAAAGAAGCAGTCAGGAAGTGGAACATGAAACAGCTCAATTACATAACAAGAAAGCTCTCAGAAAGATACAAGAAGCCAGAGAGACAGGTTAAAGATAAGAAAGGTAGATCAATAATATTAATAGCATGAAAAGAGCAACATAAAAGACGGGTGGAATTACTAAACAGATCTCCACCCACAGGCTCACCAGATATACAAACAGCAAATGAAGGTTTACAAATAGAAGGCACTGTCCCAAATAAGGAACGATTAGCCCTGGCTATTAAGCAGCTCAAAATAGGGAAAGCAGCAGGACTGATAACATCACAACAGAGATGATGAGAGCAGATATATATACAATAGTCAACATGCTGCTCCATCTGTTTGAAAAAGTGTGGGAAGAAGAGAGAGTTCCAAAAGATTGGAAAGAAGGATACCTTGTCAAGATATCAAAGATAGGGGATCTCAGAAACTGTGCAAACTTCAGTGGAATTACACTGCTGTCTGTACCAGGAAAGGTCTGTAAGAATTATTTAGAATAGATTGAAGGACCAAGTAGACAGGCAGCTACGAGATCAACAGGCTGGTTTCCGCCGAAACAGATCACCCACATATCAAATTGCAACACTACGAATCATTGCAGAACAGTCCTTTGAATGGAACTCTCCCCTATGCCAATATTTTATTGACTATAAAAAGACTTTTGATAGCCTGGACCAGTAAACCTTGTGTAAACGTCTCCGGCATTATAGGGTACCGGGAAAACTAGTCAGGATCATTCAGAGCTCTTATGAAGAAAGACATGCAGGGTGGTGCACCAAGGTAGACTCACAGATGCCTTTAAAGTGGAAACAGGAGTCAGACAAGAATGACTCTTTTCCCCCTTTCTATTCATCCTTGCCAATGACTAGATAATGAACAGATCCAAAAACAACATACAGGATACATTTCTGTCCCACAACCAGCAACAAATGCAGGAAAAGTCTAAAGCTGTAGCCACCATTTCAGCACAGCTCGGACCCCATATAAATAAAAGCAAGACAAAGATCATGAAGGTAAACTCAGCCAACCAAGAGTATATCTCTCTGGCAGGAAATGCACTGGAAGAGATGGGGACCTTCACATATTTAGGCAGCAACATTGACAACCCTTTACATGGAATCCACAGGGAAAGAGAAAGAGAGGAAGGCCTAAAAAATACAAGGAGACACGAGCTTGTGGCAGACACAAAAAGTATGAGATACACCTGGAAGCAACTGGAAAGGAAAGCACAGGACAGAGATAAATGGAAAAAGACAACCTATGCCCCAGGCGGGGTAAAAGGCATAATGTAAGGTAAATTAACGTAAATAATCCATATATTTGCACATTCAATGGCAAACTTGATAGCTTCAGAATAATATCTCTTTTTTGACTTGGTACCCTGGATGCAAAGGCTAAAAAAAATTCACTGTACAACTTACTTAGGCAAGAGACCAATCATTAGAAGTCTTCCCAGCAGTACACAAAGTGTAATGTCAGCAGCTGTGTAAGTGGCACCACATAGCCAATGTTCAATAATATTCTCTGTTTTGTGTTTAAATTTAAAAAATAAACAAAATTAGCTAACAAAATGTCATTATTTAATAAATTAATCAAATTATAATTTATTTGAATGAAATGCTTTTATTATTAAGTTGGAATTACTCAGATTTTCAAAATTCTTAAATCTATATGGATTAAAATTGTGATGACTATCACTACATAATTTCTTTCTCCCTAATAATGGAGACTGGCCTCACCTGTTCTACTTCTCCTTAACTGGGCCTCCAAGTCATCAAATAAAATCTGAAGCTCATCAATGAGAGCAATTGTGTCTGATTTCTCAAACCATACTGAAGACCGTTTCTTGGATTTTTCAATTTTAACATCATAAGCATTTTTAAGGTCAGGATATTTCTCACGCAGCTTCTCCATTTTCTCGATTGCTTTACAAGTCTTGACTCTGTACTCTGCAGATTTTTAGTGTGATTACATTAGTCAATAGCAGGGGAAAACATTTAATGGCGAATGGCTAAAAAGCTACCGGGTATTTTTAAAAAGATACATTGCTATTAAAATTACCACATAAATGTATCTAAAGAATAAATATGATCATAAAAAAACTATTCAGCATTTTAAATAGTTTTCAGGACAGTGAGTGTTCGGTGAGTGGCTGGATGGCTGTGCCGTCTTAATTGGGACAATTCAAATCATGGAGTTCAATCCCCAGCAAAAACGTAGAAAAGCAATAAAAGGAGATTGGCTGACCAGGGAACCAGCCTATGCTCCTAAAAGAAAAATCCCAGGTCTTGTGATTTTGTCTTGCTGAAGTCTACACATCGTCACATTGTGACTGACAGATGCCAGAAGAAATAGTATTCAGGATATTTCTCCCTCAGCGTTGATAAAAGATATCATGTGGTGATGTTGAAAATATGCTGAGTGAATGTGCAGCGAAAATAAATTTAAAATATATGTCTTATTTTAGATAAATAATTTACAAAAAAATAAATAATTTTACTTTGGTCACAAACTCGAACACTAAACTAATGAAAACAATTTTGATTGCCCTAAGATTGCAACACACCAAAAGTATCAAAACCTCTTAATCTGTAATGTCAGTCCATTTGTAAGTCACAGGGTAAAGTTTAGAGACCCTGGATTTACAGGGATTGTACAGTTGCTAAAACATTTGTTGTAAGGACAAGAACAAGATGTCTGACCAGATCTATGAACAAAACCTACCATAATTAATTTTTTAACCATTTGATAAACTACATCTTTTGTTAAAAAATAAAAAAATATTAATTTATAGGATAAATTTTTACCTTCTTTGGTCTGCCTGTATGATGATGGGATCTTTATGTCTGTCACTGCCAACTCAGGATTTAAGAGAACACCAAAAGTCAGACCTTCCATGTTGATACTGTTAAGTTTGCATCTCCAATCTTGTACTTGTTTACCTTCTGGTGTACTGGGATCAGGAACCAAAACTGGGGCTGTGGATGACAATTAAAACAAATATCAAAGCATTAGTTGGTTGATCAAAATTAATAGAGGTTTGGAGGGATAATTATAATTAATTTGACCATCTTAACGCATAGTTTTCCAGCCTTGGATCCAAGGAGAGACGTATACAAGTCTTGTGAGGATCAATGAATCTTGTCAATTTTTTTTCAATAAGCAAACCTTTAAAATGCATAATTAGGCCTTATATCTGTTTTAATCCTATATTTTATAACTTAAGATATAACTTAATTTTTTTAAACACTATATACAGCTGGATTTATTTTAAAAAACAAAACACTCTTTCACTTTCCTTTCATTCCAAAAAAAGACAACTTAAATGTTAATTTTTGTAGAAACATTTTAACATTGACTGTATACAATAAGTTTTAAAAGAAAAGTTTAAAAAAATAGAGAGATATAAAATGAAACAGAGCATAGATCAAACTTGTAGTTTGTAGAATATGCTAATCACGTCAAAGCCAAAGTTGTCAATTTCAATCAGCAAAGATGTGGTGCTTACAAAATAAGATGCATGAAGTAGGTCTTGTGGATGTATGATAATATAGAAATTGTGCTACTGTCATGACATACAAATTACAAAAGAACATATAAAAACAAGATTTCTGCAGTACAGTGTATTTCTAATAGGTCCTCAAAGGGTTTATCAAAAGGAAAACACTGTAAAAATATATGAAGGCAATTACATTTAACCTGGTTATGTCGCCGGCCTAGGGGTTTGCCAAAAAAGCAAAGAGATAACGGATAATCGAGATAAATGAACACCAATATGGCGGCAATATATTAAAATATGCTTGAAATTTCTTTATGTACATTATGTGCATTAAAAAATGAGAATGTACATGCATGTGTTTTTGGAGTTGGTTTTTTTATGTGAACTCAGCACATGCGCAGCGAACCAAGCACCATCATTTTATTGGTTAGTACAAAGCTAGCATAAACATAACCATTCGCAAGAGGTAAATAAAAAAAATTTAAAATCAAAAGACCATGTTCTTGCAAAGTAGGATCTCCATTCCCACGAAAGAAACTTACACGAGTCAACACCTGGCAATATTGGACCGTATATATTACTGTAGCATAAGTTAACACCCAATATAGGGATTCTTTCACTCCTGTATTTTGAGAAATAAACAATTATTTTTAATCATGCAAAACTTGTTTATTTGTTGTTTGCTATTTCTTTTTGCGGAGTTAAAAAGCCGGGGATTGGTCATGGGGATCGACATAACCCACTTTAAATGGCAAATTTGGCTCTCTTTTAGGGTCGAGATATTATGGTTCAGCGACTTAAAAGGATCTACATAACCGATGAGAAAATGCTAAGACAAAGAGAGAATTTTAATTGGGTTCCACTATAGTAATAATCTTGACACTGAATTGTGGGGGAGAGAAAGCATGAATGATAAGAAAATTTAGTTTAGTAGGTCTACTATTTGAAAAAGGTTGAGAACCACTATGCCTTTTGAATTTATATTTTGTGGAAATTTTATTTTCCCCAAATACAATAAACGGTAAATTAAAAAAAAATTAATGAAATCTGTATAGAAACCCAAATATTTTTTTTTGTGTGAATGGTCCTCCATAGCAATAAATTTCATTATTAGAGCCTAAAAGCAATGTCAAATGATATTTAAAAACTAAAACATGTTTACCATTGTTGAGTTTGTCCACCGTATCCACAATAGTTTCAGACTGGGTGAAATATTTATCTCCTAGCTTAAGCATAGGTACTTCTCCTTGTGGATTTAAGCGCAGGAACCAAGGTTCATTCTGCTCATAGGCAATCAGGGAGATGATTGTTTGTTTATATTTGACATTTTTCTCTTCAAGTGCTAGCACAGCCTGTGTTATGAATAAGTTATGGAAGAATTTAAATTATTAATGTTTTAAGAATTATTATTTTATTTTTTAAAATAGCACAAATACCAACATACTGTTAAAAGAAATAAGTCATTTATTTTTTTAGTTAATAAATTACATACAGTTTTGCAATAATTTTTTTTTCTATTTTTTTTAACAGGCCATTAATATCAAAATAATATGAACATTAAATCTTGTAAAGTATTTCAGGATTAAATTCTGAAGATCTCTGCAGTTTAAAGAAGTCAGAAATTAACCTAATCACCTGTTCAGCATGAAATTGATTTAAGCGATTATAATGCCATTTATTGATCATACAAAAAAAATAATTGCAAAAATTAAATGCTTGCACCAGTCAAAATAATAAAAAAGCTCATGGTAAACTGTATTTTTTGGTGGAATATTTAAATGGGCTATGTTATAGGATAGCAATATTCTTAAAATGTAATTAAAATATTGAAGTGATAAAATAGTAGATCTTAAGAAATTAGCTTACCTCTGCATTTTATTGGTTCTTAATATCTCATTTTAGACATATCAAAATTAATTAAAAATAATATATTCATTTATAATTTATATATAATTTTTTTTACAATTACCTTTTGAGAGTAATATGATGTTGGCCAGAAAAACAATTGCACTGGGAGGGATGCCATTGGACAACAAATTTCTTAGGCTTAGGGCTCTTAATTAAACTAGAGTGATTTATATTTTCTCTAAAAATATCTGAAAAGAAAATTCACAATGTATAAACAATAAAAAGTAATAAAAAAGTTTAATGCCTTTTGCATACAAAACGTAAGCAATTAATCCCCCAAAATTATAAATACACGGTAACATACTGCCCGCATATAAGCCTTTAGCAAAATGCTGGTGACATATAGGCCTAAAACAAAGAGCTAAACAAATTTTAAACTTTTTACTCAGGAGACTTAAGACTAATCAAATACAGTTTTACACACTAGGGCATCGTCACTTTCCCATGAGGCTCATTCTCCTATGCAAAGAATATTTACTTATAAGTGAAAGAAAAAAAAAAAAGAAAAGGCTGAGAAGACCAAAATCCTAAGCAAACAGGACAGTGCACAACAACAGCAACTGCTGGATGTGCTATTGATTTTTTTTTCGTTTGTGAGGCCCATCCTGTACAGTAAACCAGTAAATACATAAAGACAAAATTTAGTCACTACATTCCATAAGTAATTCGCATAAAAGTGCACTATTCAAACATTACTGCTTTAGTTTTGGTGAAAAAAATTACTTTGTTGGGCCTTTTCAGCTATTTGGATCAATCATTTTTGCAAATATTATTTACAATAAAGGCTGTGTCCAGTGGTGACTTGAAGTGTCCAAGCAGCCTGTGATAGAAATCTGTGACTATAGATTTAATACACTAGTTTTATTGTAATGTAGCAAGTGACCAAGATATCTAGCGGCAAGTTGTCAAGTTTTTTTACAGTCTCGAGACGACCTAGTCCACCCCTGAACATCGCAAAGATCTACCTGAATCAACGTTTAACCCAACCAAAACTGAAAGCTAGGATAAGGCAAATTAGAGGCAATTCATAAATGACATCACACATCTAGGGGGGAGGGGTAAGAAATCTGTGATACTTTATGAGTGTGTTTACATTGTGTTAAAAATTTGTGGTGATGGGGGCGAGGCAAAAATGGTATGACATCATTTATGGATGGCCCCTTGAGTGGTTTTTGTTTTGCTTCATGGTTCAGGGTTATGTTATTAGAATTGTTGGTGTAGGAAACATTGATAGTTTTCAATAATTTATTTGTCATAAACTCAAGAGGGAAATACTTTGAAATAGGCATTTTCCAGTGAATTTTTAAATGGAAGATGATTATAGAATAAACAGGAAACATGAAGGATATATGATAATATTAAGAATGCATTCACTCAAATGGAAGAACAGCGGAAGCAATAATTAAAATCACAACCATTGCTATTTATGTTTTTTGCTGGCATAAAAAAAATTAGACCATAATTAAATCTACACTTGTAATTGTAAACAAATATAATTGGTTTCATTTCTTCATTGAAGTTGTCAAGCTTATTCCGATTCAACAACTTAGTTTCCAAGGGTCCTATATGTAGTGTTGCCAGATGTTTCCAAATATACATGACATCTTCCTATACTTCCCTGCTCGGGCTGTTGCAAAAGGGAGGGGGGGGGGGGGGGGGGGTGTCTGAGAAAATTATATTCATGTCCAGTATTTATTTTACCTCTGACAGTCTGCTGAAATACAAATCCCTGCAAATCCTACATGTATGCTACTATATGCGCAAAATACATGTTGATGAAAGTGAATGTTTGTAAATCACAGATTAATTATTAGTGCCATAGATTTTAATTCTCAAAAAATCTCTGCAGCAAACCTGTTCAGTTTATAAGCCTTCCGGGTACATTTTCCCAAATGAGTGGTGTGAAGCAGCTCCTAAAATACTGTATGATGAACTCACTTCATCACCGGGAAAAAAGATATCCAATAAATCTTCACAGGATTAGTGCTAGATTAGAGAGACCTATATGAAGTGACTGATGGGTAGGATGACCTGTACCGTGAATATATATTATATATTTGGGTTTCCCAAGGCGCAATTCGATTTACACTTTTTTCTACCCTTTCTCTTATAACACAGGATTGTCATTAGCTTATAACTTATTCTAAGACATCTAAAAAATGTCTATAATTTGTGGAGTAAACTCATTATGTGTAAAAAACTGTAACTGAGACAACGCGGGGGAAAGGGCAGGGAGAAACCGTAGGTCATCAGCTGGTTTTGTCATATAAAGTGAGGGTGCCCCCAAAAGTTGCTACTCATCCCAAGTTATGCAGCTTAGGTCTATTACTAATTAGCCATCACATATTATGCTTAATAAGGCCAAGGCGCAAGTCAAAGGCACTACTCGAACCACCAACACTGGCCAAATTATGCCAAATTTATGATTTATACTATTACTATTTATATAATTTATAGTTAATTTTAACGCCTCTTACACAAATGTGTCATCCCGTGTTTTAGCATTTTTAAAAGGCTAAATTAATAAGTCTTCAAATAATAATTATACTTTATACTATACTAAATTTAAATATGATTTTTGCCTGCTACTTAATTTATAGACTTAAACTTAATTAAAGGCATGCAAATATATTTAATTTATTTATTATTTATTTTTTGTTAGGTAATTTGCAAAGGCAAAAGTTAAAAGTATTTTTGCCTTCTACTTCTACACTTAAATTATTAATCAGAAAAGTAGCCTATAGCTATGTATTATATATTTATATAATATCTAATAATTAAGATTTAAAATATATCAAATTAAATCACACAAATTACAAACTAAACCAATTATGGAGAAGAAAAAAATTCAAGTTCAAGTATCTGACAAAGGTCTGTGACCGATCTCTCATTAATAATATGATTAATGATAATGACTAATGATATACAAAAACTATAACTTAACCAGCCTATAAATAGGGAATTTTTGTAGGTGATTAAAATTAAAAAGTCCTAGGTCCAAATAGGAATTATAGGTAAATTATAAACCTCACAATATTATTTATTTGTATCCACAAAAACAATCCCGTACAGAAGTAGAGATGACTTGCTGCAACTTATGATGTTAACCGGTGAACAATAGGTTGTAAGCACGTAGAGGGTTTCCCTCCATCAGTCTCCAGGGATCCTTTACGATTTTTAGTGAACAGAAGACTTCCCGGAAAATTTCCCATCCTGGGTACTTATTTATTTATACAATTTTCTTGTTTTAGTTTTAACTCACAAATTGTCACTAAAAGTTAATTATAGTATAGGGCATGTAAAATAGAATAAACTACGCTGAATTACTAAGCTCTAGACCAGCGGTTCTCAACATGTGGGTCGGGACACCATTGTGGATCGAACGACCCGTATGTTGAAAATAACAAATTGCTAAGTTACTTCACAAGAAAGATAAACAAATAAGTAGAGGCAGCCATCAGGTTTAGTTCAACGTTTTATTTCATGAGAGCAGCAAGGAGCACGACTAGACATCATAAAAACGTGACGTCAAAACACAACAAACAATGTGAGGTGCAAAACATTGCTTGCGTAATCAACATTTAGTATTTTGCCATTTTCCAACACTGCTTCGGAAAATACTAAACAAAATTAAAGCATTAGTTTCACAAAATCATGTCTCGGAGTATCTTGAATCTTTGCTGAGACAGTCCTTTGCCTTTAGTAAGGATATCAGCTATCATTTCTTCTGTTCTACAATATTTGGGGTCACATTCTTATTTTCCACTTGTGACTTGTTCCCTGACAAAATGGTATTTTATATCCACATATTTTGCTCTACCATGGAACTTTGTATGATTAGCCATAGCGATAGCTGACTGATTGTCTTCAAATATAACAGTGGCAACATTTTGGTTAAACCCCAAATCAGATGTTTTCTCAGCCAAAGCGCCTCCTGTGCTGCACTTGAAAGTGTCGACAATGCAACACATTATTGTTTCTTACTTCTCCAACTTATAGGTCCACTACCCATATGGAACACATAGCCAGATTTAGACTTTCGATCATCAGTTTCACCTGCCCAATCCGCATCGCAATAGCCAACATATTCAGTAGATCCACGGTTGTGATACACAATTCCATAATTCGACTTACCCTTTAGGTATCTTAGAATTCATTTTACCGCCGTCCAGTGTTGTTCTGACGGATGAGCATAGAATTTTGCTACATTACCCACAGCGTAAGTACTGTCAGGTGTGGTCCAAGTTGACAGATACAGTAGACTACCCACCGCTGATTGGTAAAGTCCCTGATCAAAATAATGACCTTCTTCTTTTCTCAACTTCACATTTTGATCAGTTGGAGTGGATACAGGTTTAGAATCTAGCATTCCAAATCTCTCAAGCTCTTTGCTTGTATAACCTAGCCAGAGGCGTAGCGATGGGGGGGGGCAGGGGGGACAGATGTCCCCGGGCGCAAGCTAGTTAGGGGCGCCAAAATGTGATTTGATATTATATTATTGGTAAAAATAATGGGTTTAGGAGTTGAAAAAAAGAAAAGGGGGCGCTTTAAAATGGATCTTTACCCGGGCGCGAATCTTGCCCCCGGGCGCCAAACACCCCCGCTACGCTACTGAACCTAACCAGATATCATCTTCCTTTTGAGTGAACATTACACCCAAAAAAGATTTCAATTCACCAAGATCTTTTGCGTCAAATTTTGATGAAATAGACTTCTTGACACTTGCAAGAATTCATGTGTTCCTAGCAGTTAATAAGATGTAATCGACATAGACTGCAATGATGACCATCTCTCCTTCTGTAGTTGTATTAACACATGGTTCACCTGATGACTGCTTGAACCCAAGATCTTTCAGATGACTGTTAAGTGCTGTGTTCCAGCATCGAGGAGACTGTTTTAGTCTATATAGACTTTTCTTTATTTTACATACAAGGTTTTCCTTTCATTTTTCAACAAACCCTTCTGGTTGTTTCATGAATTCCTCTTCCTCTAACACTCCATTTAGAAAGGCTGTCGTCACATCCATTTGATGCAACCGTATATTTTATTTTGCAGCGATAGCAATGACTGTGCGCACTGATTAAATTCTAACAACTGGACAGAATGTCTCATCATAGTCCAGTCCCTATCTCTGTGAGTAACCTTATGGGCAACCAACCGAGCTTTATGTCTCTCAATTTTTCCCTCAACGTTTAGTTTGACCTTAAACACACATTTGCTTCCAACAGCTTTTCTTCCTTCTGTCAGTTTTACTAAGTCCCAAACTTCGTTTTCTTGAAGCGATTCGATATCTTTATTCATCGCCGTTAACCTTTAAGACTTATGTGAGCTCGCCATGCCCGTCTCACTGTACTGGGTTCTTCTAGATCGTGAGTCAAATTTAAGCACTCACCATATCGATTTGTCATCTAGCTCCTCACCTGGTTCATCAACACATTCATCACCATGATCATCAACACGATTCACTTCTTCATCGACGTCATTAATTAATTCCAGCCACATAGGTGTTGATTCCTGGGACATTTCAGCCTCCTTCTCAAGACCGAACTTGTTTTCGTAAACAGAACGTCTCGGCTGTAGATCACCCTATTAGTTTTCAAACTGTAGAGGCGATAACCCTTGACATCGATTCCGTACCCCAGAGAAACGCATTTCCTTTGTTATTGAGTTGAACTGTTTGTCTAACCTCAGTTGCATGGTCAACACTGAACTGGTTAAACTTGAGTTCAGGTACATAAAGCACATCATGCAGCGTGCATTAGTTGTGTTTATTACCAGGCAATTTGACAACTGGACAAATTCAGATTTCCTACAACACAGAGTGCCGTTTTAACTCAGGACAATCTCTTTTAATGTGTCCATTTCTCTTGCAATGATAAAATTGGGGTCCTTTCTTTGTTTTCTCCTTTGACACAATTGCTCTACTTGGAAATCTCTCTCTCTTCGTGAAGCAATCTCTCAGTTACAAGTTCCAAGCAAGCCCCAAGAGCAGTTACCAACATATTGTAGGAGTTGGGAAGGCTAGCAAGTAGGTTAACCACCCTGTCTTCTTCATCAACGGCATCTCCTACTACTGCAAGCTCGTTGAAAATCTCTGTTAAGAGTTTTAATGAGCTCATTCACAGAGTCCCCATCATTCATTCTAATTGTAAGTAATCTCCTTCTCAGCGCCAGTCTGTTAGACCATGTCTCCTTTTGAAACTGATCCGTCAGTTTCCCCCCAGAAAATCTTAGTCTGGGGTTCATTTGGATTGCCGATTAAATACAATAGTGAAGTGTCCAACGCCGACACAATGATAGCCAAAGCCCAATATCTCCTAATAGTAAATTTAGCAACCTCCGATTCTGCCTCATCAGGATCAACTTCAGACCCAGTAACAAATCCCCAGAGTCTATCCTTCATCAGGGCCATCAGGCTTTGAATTTTTCAGGTCGAATAATTTGTGCCAACAAGAGGAATGATGCTTGTGTTCATGTTTGCCATTCCGGTAATTCTCAGAACATCGATCGCGAATAAAAGCCACAAACAAATCGAAACCGGTTAACCTGTTGAATATATCCAATTCCTAAGTTACTTCACAAGGAAGATAATCAAATAAATAGAGGCAACCAGCAAGGTTAGTTCAACGCTTTATTTCATGAGAACAACATTGAGCACGACGAGACAGCATAAAAACGTGACGTCACTAACAACAAACAATGCGGCGTGCAAAAGAAAGCGTAATCAACTTTTTGTATCTTGTCTTTTTTCAACACTTACACAAGGGTAGCCTAAGACCATAGGAAAACAAATATTTATGAAGTTGTAGCGAAAATAGTTTTATGGTTGGGAGTTGGGGGTCACCGCAACATGGGGACCTGTATTAAAGTGTCGCGGCATTAGAAGATTTTTGTAATGTTGCGTTTTGTATTTCAATGTGGTGTAATATAGATTTTTGTCATTTCTCTTTTAATATGGTCGACTTTGTACCGCGCTTCGAGCCTTTGGGGATGAAGCGTGATTTTCAAATAAACTTTATTATTATTATTATTATTAAGGTTGAGAATCACTGCTCTAGATACACCAGTACACTACAGGTTCTCAAGCATTCTCACTTCAAGTTAAGTAATGACCTCATTCCAGGGTTTCTTTCAGCTATATCTCCATAAATTTTTGCTCGGGGGTGGGGGCACTGCCCCCCAGGGAAAGCCAAGTGCCCCCGAGCAAAAAATATGTCCAACAATAAATCAATTGGCACTGCCCCCACGAAAAATTTGAAGTGCCCCCTCCCCCCCCCCCCCCCCCCCC